CTCATGCGCATACACACACACACACACACACACACACACACACACACACACACACACACACAATTTAAAAAATTAAGTAAATCTTAAAGTGAAAAGAAAAACCTACTGGTATTTGATGGGGAGGAAGGACCTTGCTGGCAGTGACATTTAACTGAGGTTGGGGTGACAAAGAATAATTTGTGTGTGATGGGGGAAGGAAAGGCACTCTTGGTGGCTGGTGTCAGTTGGGAGTTGACCTAACTCTCACATGGGGACTTCAGGGTGAAGAACGGCACATGATTAATAGCAGAAACTTGAAAATATTTTCATGATTGTAACAAGCAACAAAAAGCTGCTGGTTTGAAGTTAAAAATGAACATTTTCGGGAAGGCACTGTCCACTCATCGGTGAACAGGACTTTCCTCATGAAGGGAGCATCTTTTTGCATTTTAATAGTTACCTGAAGTCTCTATGTTTTATATTCAGTACTGAAGGATTCTCAGAGTGGTGCTGAACGTCTCTGGCCTCCTGCCTCCTTCCTAATATAAACTAGGTTCATACTCCTATTTCCTTCTCTCCGAAGCCTCTTAGCTGTGATGATTAGGTGGCATTTCATCATGGGGCCTCCACTTCTGATTGGATTTTCTTTTGTGGATGGATTTGCATGTCAGTTCAGATAGAGCCAGGAGCTTTCACAGCAGATGAGGCAACATTGTTTTTAGATTTTCTCTCAGACATTAAATGTTTTAATAACATTGTAGAAACATCATTTAAAAACTTGGTTTTGTAATTGGTGGTTAATCCTATATAAAAAATGCAGGGCTTTTGTTTTATTTATTTAATTTTTAAAAATATTTGTGTGTGTGTGGTGGGTGTGCCTGTGGCATGCTGCACGTGGCAGTCAGAGAACAACTTGCAGTTGTCAACCCCATCTCTACCATGTGGCTTCTATGTTGATTTTTTGAGAAAGGTCACATGTAATGACCTTTGGTCAGTGGCTGGCCTGACCCTCTCTCCCTTCCACCTCCCAAGTGCCGGGAATGTGGGCAATATACCACCATACTCAGCCAATTGTTTTATTGTTGTTTTGAGACAGGGTCTCACACTATAGCCCAGGCTTGTCTGAAACTATTATCCTCATTATATAGCCTGGAACTTGTGGCAATTCTTCTGCCTCAGCTCCTCAAGTGCTGGGGATCACAGGCATGAACCATCACAATGGCTCATTTAAATTTTTAGTCAAGCTACCAGTCTTCATTCACTCATTCTAATAGAAAAATCCAGCTGAGTAATTAGATGCTTCACAAATTGGCTCCCTTATTTTAAGAAGGGCCTTTTAAGCTTGTACTTGTCTCTCTAATTTCTATTTATTTTTGAGAATTTCATACATGCATATTATCTTTGCATTATATCCATCCCTCCCAGCCCCCGAACAATTCCTCCCATGTCCCCCCAACTCCTTCTCAATTTTTTGGTCCTCTTCTTTGATTATTTCTCTAAGCAGCAGGAAGTCAGTGGCTGCTTTAATACTTCTCAGGAAACTTCCCTTAGGTCATTAGGTACATTTTCTATTTTTTTGAATTACAATCAACATTGTTAGACTTTCTGCACCTGAATCACAAAGGTGCCCTTTCTTCTGACTTCCAGGAATATTTTCCTCACTTCCCTTTTTTAACCCTCACCAGTAACTCCTTAGAGGGCCATCAGGCTTCCAGGAAACTCTTTGAGATTCTTCGTTTCCTCTAACATGTTCCCTGAGGTCACCTTCTTCCCACTGCTTAGTCCCAAAGCCACAGATAAGTTATGACAGCATCCAATGTCTAGCACCAAAATAGGTTCTGGTATTAATGTGAAAACAACCACTCCCAAACTTAGTGGTTATTGGGAAACACAATCTGGGCAGATCCTAGCAGGGAGACTTCATCTGTGTTTCCTGCAGCATGAACGAGGGCAGATGAAACCCAGAGTCACATCAAGGAGATGCCTCATTGTTGAAGCTGGGAAAACTGGCAGCTCCAGATGGTAAGCCTTGGGTGGACTGGACACCTTATTTCTATGTCGCTCCCTGTAGAGTTTCAGATTAGTGAGACTCTTACATATATCATCTCAGAGTGTGGTAATCTAAGAGAAAAAGCAGGCAGAGACTCATCTCTTTGTATGACTTTCACTTGTAAGCCATGAAGTACCATTCGCACCACATTCTATTCATTCGGAGTTATCAGCATGGCTAGCACATACTTGTGAGAATTAGATTTCACCTTTTGGGGGAGAAGTATCAGAATTTGCCCTGTTAAAATGATCACATGCACTGAACTGCAGATGAACCTGGGAAATGCATTCTGCAGCTAAGTATCCGATGCATCTAAAATTCTGGGTCATTCTATTACGGAGTGGTAAAAGGATACAGCAGTGGTTTACTGTCACAGGCAACTCTGTGAGAAGAAATTAAAACCTGAATCATACGGTCATGAGTGAAGAGAAAAATGAACAGCAGAGAAGCAAGAGGAACAAGACCAGGAAATGCTGGAAATGGAAGCAGTATGCAGGGCACAACACAGGCTTATGTCAGAACCATGTGTAATTACAGGAGGCTGGTGATGGGATACTGCCAATTATGGCATTTCATGTGTTTAGATTTTATTTCCAGTGGTCTCTAAGCAGTTTAATATAACTGTTTCCCTTACAAATTCCATTAAAATAGTACTGATGCTTTGCTTTTTAGATCCAAATAGCAATATATTAGTATGTATTTATTAAGAGTAACTAATTTATGTTATGGTTGGTGCTGTTGGAGCTATCTTAATCCTAGCACTCAGGAGGCAGAGGCAGGTGGATCTCTGTGAGATCAAGGTCAGCCTGGTCTACACTGCGAGTTCCAGGCCAGCTGGGGCTACAGAAAGACCCTGTCTCAAAAAAGATCAATAAATAAATAAACAGATGAAAATAAAATTATATATAAGCCTAGGGATGGCACCTTCCTCAATGATAAAGACTTTTCTGGTATTCCACTGCCCATGTTCAAAGCTACAACATGGCACACTCCATCAAGGATATACAGAACTATGAAGTAGGAATGGACTCTGGGTTGAGGAAGTGCAGGTCCTTTCCCAGGAGTGAGACCATTCTGTAAGAGGTAGCACTGGGGGAAACTGAGGGAAAGCACATACACCTCCGCATTCTGTGACATCTTCTGCATCTAGTCATTTAAGACATCAAAACCAAACTATTGGTGTGCCAGGCACTTGTGTCCTAAGTATGTTCTGGCAGTGTTGCTGGGGTAACTTTCCTCATCACAACTGGGGTGGGATATGCTTTGGATAGAAGTCACATAGGCATCCTTAGTGCTGAGCAGTGAAAAGGAAATTTCTGGCAAAATGTTTCTCCAAAAGGAAAACAAACTGCCCCTTTTGCTTCCTTTCCTTCTGTAACACAAGGTGCCAGGTTCTTGTCAGTACCCAACTTCAGTAATTGTCCAAAGCATATCAGTGACCAGTGCCAACCTGCTGCCCTGCATATTGGGCGTTCAGTGAGCTGCAGGTGGGTTCAAAGACCCTGGAGTTCAAGGTCAGGCACATTTGTAGGCATGCAGGCATTCCAAGTCCTCTGACGTGTGTAGTTTCATGTATAAGTCCTCTTACCTTGACTTTATCTGCTTTCTTGGAGTAACCCAAGGTGTCTAGAATGGTTGAGATGGCCAGGATAGGGGTCTGCTTTCAAGTGTGGTGAACAAATACAGCCTTGTGTATCAGAGCATTCCATACCCATGGTTTCAAATAACTTCCAAACAACTTCCATACTGTACAATATTCCTTGAGTAATAAGGTGTAACCATATAGCATTTACACTGCATCAGAAAGTCTATGGGACAATGTGTATAGGTTGTGTCAACATAATGCCATTTTATGAGACTTAAACATCTCAATTTTGATATCTGTGGTCCCTGGAACCAATCTCCTGAAGATTCTGAGGAGCTGTGGGACACACTGCTTAGACACTCTGAAACCCAAAGCAATACACCCGAACACCACCACAAAAATGACCCTTTGTGATACGTTGACTTGAGTCCTTTGGATAAATGTCTGACTTGCATAGTTTGGATATGTGGTAGGTCCATTTTGAGTTTTTAAAGGTTCTCCATTATGATTTCCAAAGTGGCTGGACTAGCTTCCATTACCACTGGCAGTGCATGAGGATCCCTTTTGTATACAGCCATGCCAACATCTGTGATTATTTTCTTGATGGCTGCAATTCTGACTGGGGTGAGATGGAAACTCAAAGCGGTTTTTACTTGCCTTTCTCTGGTGGCCAGTGATGTTGCGCATTTTTTTTTATATGCTTACTGATCAAATATTTGTACTTCATCTTTTGAGAACTGTATGCTCATTTCATTAGCCCATTTATTTTGGCATAGTTTGGATATTAATTTTCTGTTAGATGTACAGCTAGTAAAGATTTTCCCCATTCCATAAGCTTCACCAGATTAAGATGCCTATCAAAGGAGGGGTGGGCGAAGAAAATGTGATATGTTATATATATAATTTTTTTCCAGTCATGAAGAGTGAACTTATGTCATCTGAGGGAAAATGGCTCTAACTGGCACAACCATATTAAGCAAATTAAGTCACTCTCAGACAAATAGATTCACAAAATCACATATGACAGCAGGGTGGGGGGAGATAGGCTCAAAGTATATTATATACTTATGTGAAAATGGCCTCATGTAACCTAGTATATAAAACAATATATACGAATAAAATCTAAAAATAATAAGCAAACCTCACACATGGTTACTGAAAACGACCCGAGTAAAGTAAGCACACAACATGTTAGCTAATATTTTTTATTGTCAGACTTTGTGTGAGCCAGCAAACACCACCATCGCAGAGTCCAGAAGGCATAAGGCAAATTTAACTCTCCTTTATGAGTAGACTTAATTGGCCCAGGTCTTTATATCATTTCCATATAAAAATAAAAGCCCAAATCCAGATTCTTTCTCTTCTGGTCATGAATGAGCGTGTGTTGACAGGTGCCTTGTGCAGACCACCATTATAAACTTGGGACTAAAGGCTGTGTGCATTCCACGTCAAGGCCTTTAGAGTTTCTCTTGCACATTACATTTCGGGAACTCATGGGCTCTCTCCACACTCCCATGGTTATACCTGCAATCTATCCAGAGTGATACAAGCTACCCTTCAAAGAAAACAAAAATTAACTTAATAGAAATGAAAGACTCCAAAATGACTTCATATTGTTCTAAAAACGGCACTGGAGCCAGCAGTTTAAGAGTGGCTTATAAATACAGTTATCTTGTAGGCAGCAGACCTGTTGGTAATTCAGCAGACACAGGTCATGGCCCTTGCTACATGTAAAACGAAACTGAGTCAAAACGTCTCTTTCCAAAATACAGCAAAGACAGGAAAATCCAGGATTCTGATTTGTTAATAAAACCACGTTATAAAGTAACCACTGAAGACTCTAACTCTGAACTATTAAAATATACAGACTGTTTACACCATTGCACATCCTTTTCCCTTTGTGTTTAATGCTCCTTAAACAATGATTAAAGTGTTGAATTTATGAATGAATGCATGCATGGGCAAGCACAGACATTTAAAAAATAAAACCAAAAAAAAAAAGACGTCCATGAGGAAGGCCGCCAGCAGCGCTCCAACTAAAACATACTGTCCCCTTCTGCTGTCTTCCCTCCCCACTCCCTCACCTTCCCTCATATTTGGGGAAATCAGGCTGGGAGGTTAGTGCATAATCAGTGGATCCGCGTCCCGCTTCCAAGCTCTGTAAGCTCCCACAGAAGGGGAAGGCTTCCCTCAGTAGCACAGTTAAGGTCGGTTAGGGTCGGCTCCGCAAGTTAAGGCACTTCTGGCTGCTTTGGTGGCAGCATGGTTTCTCTCCCCCTTCTTTTTTAAGGCATGTATCATCTACATGTAGTAAAGCTTTGGAATTGTGCAGACGGTTAAGGTGGACCGCTTAATACATGATCACTGAAGTTGACAGGGGAAAGGAATCCCGGAGACTCCTCCCTCCAACGACTGGCTGCCACATGGGCAGCTGTTTCCAAGCCCGGTCAGGACCTGGTGCCGGCCTGGGCAGAGGGTGGCACATTCGGCTGTGAAAGTCACGTGGGCTCACTGGTCTTCACCTGGAGCTGCCTTGGCTGCTCACAGAGCGTGTGGTGCTGTAGCGCTTCTTCACGATCATGCTGATGTAGGCTTTCATGAGCTTGGCCACATCCACCACCTATTGGGAAGAGAAGAAACCACACATGGCACAGGTCTCCACCAAGTTCAAGAGCCTAGAGCAGATGTCCTCTGTCTGTCCTCCCTGCAAAGGCCAGCAGCTTCCTATGCTAATTCAGGGCTCCAGTGTCACAAGAAGCCAAGAGTTTAAGCTGCCTATTTCTAGTCAAGGAGAAAGCGAGCTGGCACTTTTCTAAATATAGTGTGTACCACCCAGAGCTTCCTGTACACAAGATGATTTTATTTGATGAACAATGTCAGATTCTGCACATTAGAAAATGCTACAAATGCACCAAGAGTTGGTATCATTAGGGCGGGGACTACTATCCTCACTGAAAAACAAGGTGACATGCTGTGCTGGATAGCTTTAGTGTCAACTTGACACACATGGGTTGAGGGAGCCTCAATAGGGGAATTGCCTCCATAGGACTGGCCTGTGGCCATGTCTGTGGGGCACCTTCTTGATTGTTGTGTGATGTGGGAGGGCCCAGCCCACTGTGGGTGATGCCACCCCTGGGCAGGTGGGCCTGTGTTGCATAAAAAAGCAGGCTCAGCAGGGGCCAGGAGAGCAAGCCAGTAAGCAGTGTTCCTCCATGGCCTGTGCTCCAGCTTCTGCCTCCAGGTTCCTGCCCTGAATTCCTACCTTGGGCTCCCTGATGAACTGCTGAACTATGACCAGGGAGATGTAAGCTGAATAAACCCTTTCCTCTCCAACTTGGTATTATTGGTCAGAGTGTTTTGTCACAGCAATGGAGAAACAAACTAGGACACATTTGGAGCCGACAAGCAGCCTTTACAGACTACAGTGTCCAATTCCGGTCCACCCCTTTGGATGCAGTGCAAGAAGCACAGATGACTCCTCAGGGCCCGGGAGAGAGCTGTGGCCAACTCCCCAGAGGCCAAGCACACTTCTGTTGCACAGTAGCTATCTTCCTCAGAGAGGACCCCTCAACCAGTGCTTCTCATGTTGCCATCTCTGTCTCCTCCATCCTGTCAGGCTGGGTCCTTCTAAAGCATCCTAACAGGCTTCAGTTTGCCCAATTCTCTGCCCTTCCAATCCCACCTTATACTGTTCATAAGACCACTGTTGGAACGCCTTGCACCATCAAGGATTCCATGGTGGTTTCCTGCTTCCATTGGACTCAATCAAATGCCGCAGCCCAGCACGAACCCTCGCCAGGCAAGAAGTCTTGAGCCCTTTGCCCCTCTCTGCACATTTCCCTTGTCAGCTCACTGTAGTTCACCCCCGGCCTCCCTCCCACCCACCCATCCCAGGCAGTATGCAATTCATTCCCAGTCTTGTATTATTACATGTGTTCAAGTCTGGAGTAGCTGGCATAGATATTTAGAGGCTTTTCTGAATGTGATTTTGTGATCAGCAATCAGTTATGCCCAGAAGGGTGTGCCCCTTAGCTCCCTTCTGCTCTGTGGATGTCACTGGAGGGAAGCCTTACTCCAGTAAGCACAAGTTTTCACGGCCTTTTCACCTCTATAATTTCTTTCTTTCTTCCCTGACCCACTGATATAAAAGAATCAAATTTCCTTGTTGTACAGACAGGACTTTATGTGACTTTGGCTTCAAGGATCCTACAGTTGGGGGAGGAACCGCAGTACTGTGTTCCCTACAGGAAACACAAAGAGTCTTGCTCAAAGGCAGCAGGAGTTGGGCACTGTTCTCCTCTTTCATCAAGACCCTGCGTGACCGGCATCTACTCTGCCTCTTACCTCGGGGGTCTCAAAGAGCAGTTCCCGTTCATCAACCACAATTTTGTATGTGTTGGCGAGGGGTGCCCCGAAAGAGAGGATATGCTCATACTGGAAGACTTCTAATGGTTTGCCTTCTCCACGCTTGTAGACCGACACTGCATCTGCGCTGACACCCAGCCAGAGCTCCTGGGGGAAGCCACCTTCCTTGCACTGGTGGACAAGATACTCAGTGTAAGCAAACATTGAATCATGAAACTTAGAACACAAAGTCTAGAAGCCATAATAAGGCAGATGCTGAGGCAAGTGGTTCACAGGTGACACTGACTGAAGTCAACACGCTGGTACACGGGCACTGAAACAGGAGAAATGGCACCTCTGCGGGCATCCTGATTGATTTCTGACTGGGCAATCAATTTCAGAATTTGCAGAAAACCAACTGGCAAACCTAACCTTTTGCCCTGCCTCTCTACATCTTGACAGCATCTCATCTTCATTGGGATTAGCTATTCTATTACAGCATCTGAATCAGCCACACGGAGAGCACACAGCTGGGCAAGCTGCTTAACCACCATCGACAGCAACCCGGCCAGAGCCAAACCTCTTCTGTTTCTAGGTCTGTCTCTATCCTGTCTGGACTGGCTTATGTAGGATCACACAGGTTGAGTTCTCTCAATCACTGTGTGTTGGCTCTTCTCCACAAGGAGAGGCAATGACTTGGTAGACGTTCAGTATGTCTGGACTGGCTTATGTAGGATCACACAGGTTGAGTTCTCTCAATCACTGTATGTTGGCTCTTCTCCACAAGGAGAAATGCATCTCACTGCCTAACTGCAGACTTGCTCACACAGATCAATGAAAGAAAACAAGGGCCTGTGTGCAGGGGACAGCGACAAGGAGCAAGGGCAAACTAGGCACACTGAGCAGAGCATGTACATGGCATAAAACGTCTTATTTATGTACCTCAGAACCAATCAACCAACTGCACTCAGGACAGCTTCCCATCAGAAGCAATTAAGGCACCTCAAAATATTTAATCTATCTTTATATATTTATAGTTTCAATCTGAAGGCATCAAAGAACATGCCGAATTGTTGGATTATAAGAAAACTGGTAAGCTAATCTACACCAGGGGCTGGTAAACATGTCTGTTCAGGCAGGAGGAATCGTCTCAGGCCTTGCAGGCTTTGTGGTCTCTGTCATGAAGCCGAACTCTGCCCTAGCATGAAGGAAGCCAAGGAAAACATATATAGGAGGTGGCAGGATTTGACCTGTAGGCCAGTTTGGCAAACCTTTCTCTAGACCACTGATAAAATTTTGTTCAATCAATGGTCTCAAAAAGAACCCCCACAAGGGTTGGAGCGGTGGCTCAGAGGTTAAGAGCACTACCTGCTCTTACAGAGAACCTGGTTGGTTCCCAGCACCCACATGGTGACTAACAAATGTGTGTAACTCCAGTTCCAGGGGGTCCAAAATCCAACACCCTCTTCTGGCCTCTACAAACATTGCATGACACAGGTGCACTTACATACGTGCAGGCTAGAACACTCATACACATAAAATAAAAAATAAAAGTAAAAACAACATGAAACCAAAACAACTTAATGAATTATCTGGTACTGGGCTGAAGTGGTAGCCAAATTCCAACACACACACACACACACACACACACACACACACACACACACACACACACAACCTTTGGGAGGCAGGGGCCATTAATGGTGAGACTTGGAGGGCTGGAGACCTAGTGTTCCCTAACATCCCCTCTGTCCATATGAAGCCAACAAGGTTCAGGTTCTGATACAGCATCTGTCTGCTCATGATGCAACACACAGGAGCCAGCTCTCACCTCCACATCAAAGAGTGTAGACCCATAGCCAGGCCACTCCTTGATCAAGGTCATGTACTTGGCCATGGCTTGTTCCTGGTTCATTCCCTGAAATTTCTTCCACTTGTCAATGATGCTGGCTCGAGCAGAGCAGACTTCTTCCTTGATCCACATGTCCAACATCTGTTCCTCCTCCATCTTCTGCCGCACCACCACCCCAGTCCGGAAGCTGCGCCTCAGTGTCCCCTCCAGAAAGCTGGTCCTTCTCTTCTCCAGCCGCTCGCATGGGGTGAAGCTTTTGGTTGACTGACTGATGCGAGCCTTGAGTCTCTGCACAGAATAAACTTCCTCAAGGGGTGGGACTGTAGCATGTAGTGAATAGTCCCCTTGCAGGTACTGGAGCCGCAAGGCAGCAAGGACCTGGAGGTTCTCTTCAGGGGCTGGATGGTGGCCGTGGATGACTGCTTCGTGGGCCTAAAAGGAAGAGACAAGAGCTGTGGTCAGGTTGCTGCTATGTCTATAAGGCCAGCTCACTCATGCCATTAAGACTGCTCTCAAATACCTTCTCTGTCTGGCCTATTTAAAACTGTTACCCTGGCCTTCCTTTAAAGTTGAATTCCTCCCAAGACAGGTACCAGCTAACACTGCATCTTTAATTCCCACTCTCTCCATCAAAGAGCTCCTAACAGGGATGTTTAAATCAGATGTAAAAAGCTTCAATCTATAGAACGAGTTGTTGGTGAATCTACTGCCATGTGTAATTTTACTGCCATGTGTAATTCTAAGGGCTAGCAGTTCATTTATAAGGTACAGTAACAGGTTTCATTCCTGCTCATCAGCAAAGGACTCTGTTCTAGAAAGTTCCTCTTACCTGTTCAAACATAAACGCAAATTCCACACTGTCTTTTGGCACGCTGTCTGTGTCCAGGAAGCAGTAAAGTTTGAAGTAGAATTTCCATGGCAAGTCCCCTGCCTCTGACGTGGCAGCTAGCCTGTGGACAGAAGACACAGGGGACTCAGAACAAAAGTAGAAAGAGAGACCTTCAGAGGCTGACCTGACAAAGCTCACTCTGAGAATGCATACGTGACCAGGGCACAGTGTATGTGTCAGGGGGTGGGTAGGTGGGAGACACACTTGGAGACCGAGAAAGGGCTTCTGAGAGTTCAGTACTTTAACCAGAGGGAGAGCCGATGCTTCCAGTTTGGTCCTATGTTAAGAAAGCAAACAGGAAACCTTCAGGTGAGGTCTGCCAGCAGGGGATTTCTGAGGGCCTCTTGTGGAACCAACACCATCTAAGGCTTGTGATGAATCTACAGAAAGGCTATTTTTATTCCCTTTACAAACTCTCAACTAAATGACAGTTCATTTATAAGGTATAACAACAATTCAAAATTGCTATGAATATTCTGGGGGCTGCCTTCATATGCAGCAATATCTTGTATGACTTAGGGGATACAAAGTCAAGATCAAACACTGGAGTGCAATGGTGCAAGTACATTTCATGTTGCAAACTTCAAAGGCAGCTTAATTTAAAACCCTAGAGTAAGTGAAAACCTAACAGATCTAAGGCAGTGAATATAACAGGGGGCTGAGAGAGAGAATGGGGTGAAGGACTGATGATGAGCTAAATCGCCTTGGAGCCCATGGCTCTGTCCATGAGTCAGAAAGCACAGGTGGTAGAGAAGAAAAGGTAAATGTATTTCAACACAGGTGAAATAAAACCAACACAAACATACGGTGATGATGACGCCACCGCCGTCGAAGAGGGATGGTCAAAGGCTCTTCCAGCACTTCAGGGAGGAGGAACTTACTTTTCAAACTTTGCCAGAACATCAGCCACGATGGTGCGGCTCTCAATGGCCTTGTCCACGTGTCCGTTGTACTCAAACAAGGCAAACATATTCCTGCTGTCCTCCATAGCCAGGCCCCGGATCAGCTTCTCCACCACCTAGAAGACACACGGACAGCTCAAAGTTGTGGTTCAGACAAATGCTTCCAGAATAAGCCTTCACCTGAACTAAGAGGTAGCTGTTGGCACGAGAGGGTCCATACAGATTCCCCAAACTCACCTATATAGTCACCCAAACCTCACATGCACCTTCTTTTATTTTCCTGGTAAAGTTAGGTTCGTTCATTTTTCCCTCCCTCCCTCCCTCCCTCCCTCTCTTTCTTCATCCCCTCCCTCCTTCACTTTTCTCATCCTTCCCTCTTTCTCCCTGCCTCCCCCCTCCCTCCCTCCCTTCCTCCCCTCTTTCTTACAAAACAAACAGCAACAAAAACCCCAAGGCATTTTAATAGGCCACCATCAGGCACAGAGGCTGAGCTGCTTTCTTGTAAAGCCATACTACTAGGAAAAGTGGATGAACCTATGTCCTGATAGACTCTTACGAACCTCAAGAAATAATGACTTCAAATGATGATTCTTCCAGACAAGGCTTATGTAGTTTTAGTACCTTGCTATTATTGGACAAAGGTTTCATAATGCAAAATATAAATGTACAAGAGAAAATGTGTTCATCCACTGTGGCGTTCTCAATATCCATGCCCAATACAGAAAGGCCCATGGCAGAACTGACTGAACCCCGCTCCTCCTAGCCTTACACCTAGCTCTCTGTGGAGACACTTAGCTGTATCTCAGATTAGGGGGACTATGTCTCAGAGACTTTGCTTGAGTTTAGCTTTGAGTTTCTACAGACCTTTAATTGCATTTTTCTCTCTTTTCCTATGCATGTGGTTGGCTGCTGGTTACACTGACTTCCTTGGTTACTGAGCAGTCCTGTACTGTGCATGACCTCCAATACAGTTATGCCCAGCACAATGGGAATTGTAGCTCTCACCTCCCCAGCTGTGGTGTGGGAGTTGATGGTAATCTTGCAGGAGCCCCCACCGTGGCAATACACCGCAGACGTCATTTCTTGCCGGTGGATCAGAGCTTCAATTTCATCTCGGGAAGGCACAAACTCCCTGCATTTGGTCTTCTTTAGAGATTCATAGATGAAGAGGGCATATTTTTCCATCTCAGTTCCTGGAAACTGTTCCCGTATTCTAGGAGACAACAGTGAACTGTGAAATGTGGATGGAGGGTGGATACCTTGGAGGGGGCTGGCTGTGGACAGAAGTTGGTCAGGTGGTCAGCCGCCCCCTAGTGGTAAAGGGAGTAAACACTAGCATCTTCTTGGCAAGGACCAGTTGACCCTGGAACCCTGGGCAGCACCACTAATACCTGGAAAGATAGATACTTCATGTTGTCCTGAAAAAGCTGCTTTTTGTTTGAGTTTTTTCTTCTTTATTTGGCTTTTGTTTTTTGAGACAAGGCTTCAGTCTAGCCCAGGTTGGCCTTGAAGTTGTCACGTTCCTGCCTCAGTATATCAAGTGCTATAGAACTGGAGTGAGCCACCATGTCTGGCTTGAAATGTTGCTTTTCCATAGTTAATCAACTAAGATTTTAGCTATGCTTGTCACACACAAAAAACTATATGAGAGGCAGATATTACTGTTTCACTAAAGTAACCATTTTACTATCTAAAGGGATTCTATAACATCATGTTGTCAACCCCAGACAGAATAAAATCTATTAAAAACTCAGTATATAAACAAATAAAACTTGAATATCTAAGCTGGAGTATTCTCTATAGAGTAGTGGTAGTTAAATGAACCCAACAACCTATACATTAGGATGCTCTACCCATGTGGCTTGGTTCCTGATACAGCTTTATGCAGCTTAGAGAAGGAAACCTAGGTTACATAAGCTTGCTCAAGGGACCTATGAGTCTGGCTGGAGGTCCCTGCCTCACAGTGCTTAGTCTTGGAGTCTGGCCACCATGCCTGTGTGTCAAGAGCTCTGCCCAGCTTCCTTCACAGTCCCCCCCCCGCCCCCCAATCTGGGGCCTTACCTTTTCAGGTGGAACTTGAGGTACTTGAGGATTCCTCGGCTGGGCAGGAAGGTACAGCTAAGGCATGTCAGGATCTGCCAGCTGTATAGGTTGCCCACGCTGCCGGGATGGGGCACCTTGTTGGTCTGTTTGATGAGCTGACAGTACAGCTCATCCCGCAGAGGCCGCAGGTCATGCCCAGTCTGCAGGATGCCCTGGATGATGGGGATAGGGTCGGACATGGATTCTAGTTGCTGGAGGGAATTGAAGATCTTGATGGCTTCATCCTGAAGGGTCGTGTAGCCTTTGTCTTTGAGCACTAGGAAAAGCAAGTCAACACAAGTTACTGGAGGGACCAGCAGGGTACAGGTGGTACAGAAGGCAAGTGGAAGGAATGACTGGGGACAAGCCTTCCTGATGTTTACATCAGCTGAACAAAGCAGGGGCGATACAGAGGTGGGTGAGTTATCCTGCCCTGTTGTACAGCTGAGCTTTGGAGTACACAAAATGCTCACTAAAAACCAGACTGTGGTGGAGCAGGTTCCTTACTTGGAAGGTAATACTGTCTAGGATCAGTTTACCTGGTACAGGGGATCGTGACTCCTCATAAGCCCACCATTACTTGAAAATAGTATGAGTTAAAAATGCGTTAAATGAACCCAACCAGCTAAACACCACAGCTTGGCCTAGCAGGCTTCAAATTTGCATGAAACTACAGTTGCATAACCTTATCTGATATGAAGCCTATTTCATAATAAAGTAATGAATATTGCATGTAATTCACTGAGAATTGTACTGAGAGGAAAAACGGAAGGTCTGCATGGATATACTTTCTCACCACCATAAAGCAGGGATGCCCGTAAGGCACTTTAACACTATCACAAAGTGAGGGTAATGACAGGGGTATGTATGCTTTCACACCACCATAAAGCAGGAACAGCTGCAAGGGCCTTCACGGTACCATAAACCAAGAATAAACTACATGGGTATGTATACTTTCATACTACCATAAAGTGGGTAATTATGTAGTCATTCTAAGCCAGGGACTCTGTGTTCTAAAGGCTGCTGTGAGTTCATAGGGAGTGCTGGCATTCTCTGATGCCCTTTTAAGTCTTTGAGTATATTTTAATGTCTTTTCCTACTCGTGATGATCTAAAGAGTCTGAGTGACCAATGCTTCCTTTGTTAGAGTTTAAGTTAACAGGCAAAACAAAACTACAGACTCTGAAGATCCTGGTGGCACTCCAAACTCACAGTTGAGATTTATGTCTCCGTAGGGAAGAGGCAGAAGCGGGGAGTGTAGGGGATGATGCGTGTATCGAAGGATCGGGTTCCGCTTGTAAATCTGCTCTACTACATCCGAGTTCAGGCAGTTCTCCTGGAAAGTAAAGGAGTTGTTTAAAGAAAGCAAGGAGGCTGATTGTGAAAAACGCACTGAAGACAGTAATGCCAACCGTGCCTTCCCACACAGGAACAAGTCTCAACATCAGTTATGAGCCCAATGGGGTAACGGGAGTAGGAATCCATTATTGATCACTTCCAGGCAAGGAGACGCACAATCTGCAGCTACAGATAAATCATAAGAACCTTACAGGGCTGGAGACGTGGCACAGGGGTTAGTTAAGAGCACTGGCTGCTCTTGCAGAGGACCTGGGTTCGAGTCCCATCACCCAGATAGCATCTAACAACTGTAACTCCAGTTCCAAGGAACCCACTGCCCTCTTCCCTCCATGGGCACTGCACAACACAGGCACACTTACATACATGCAGGCAATCATTCACACACACAAAATAAAAATAATGGAGAGATGGCTCAGTGGTTAAGAACACTGGTTGTTCTTGCAGAAGACCCGGGTTCGAATCCTAGCACCCACATGGCCGCTAACAATTGTCTGTAACTCCAGCTCCAGGGGATCTGACAGCCTCTTCTGACCTCAGCAGGCATTGCACAACACGGGTGCACTTACCTACATGCAGGTAATACATGCATACACAAAAAATTATATAAAAAAAATATTAAAAAAAACCACCTTATACAACTTATTCTCTTTGCTTCAAGTGCACATTCCCTTATGTTATTAAAACTTCCACACACATACTCTTAAAAAATTAAATTTAGCTGGGCGTGGTGGTGCATGCTTTTAATCCTAATTTGATATTCAGATTTTATTAAGTATATTAGAACGCAAAGAAAAAGATGTAATAAGCAGAAGTTGAAAGATAAGACAGTTTTAAAACTATCTTAAATAACTACACACACACACACACACACACACACACACACACACACAAATTAATCTTCTTAATGATTTGGCCATCCATTGTGCCATCTTAAAATACAATTCATTTTAAAAACATATTTTGGTAGACTTTATTTTTGGTCTCTTGAAACAGAATCTTTAGCCTTGGACTGACCTAGAACTCATGACAATCCTTCTGTCTCAGTCTCCCCAATACTGGGATTATAGGCATACATCATCACATCTGGCTTTATTCTTTTTTCCTACTCTTTCTTTATATTTATTTATTTATTTGTTTATTTATTTATTTATTACTTATTTATGTGTGGTATGCCGCATATGTACAGGTGCCTGTGGAGGTCAGAAGAGAGCGTTGGATCTACTGGAGCTGAAGTTACAGGCAGTTGTGAGCCACTCAATGTGAGTACTGGGAAGAAACTCAAGGCTTCTGCAAGAGCAGCAAGCACTGTCGGTGACTGAGCCACCTCTTCAGCCCTTCTGTGCATATTCTTTCTATGCCTGCAAATGACTCGTGGCAGGGTGTTCCTGGGGAGATTTTCCCTCTGAGGCCTGTCTGTCCTGAATTCATGAGCTCTTTTCACTGAATTACATCATATATTGATGCTCTTCAAATGTCACTCTGATACGTGAAGAAAGTCAAGTTACTTTTAGAGCCTTAAATAAACAGCAGAGCTGGAGGAGAGGCGATGAATCATTCCTTCATGGTCATTTCATTTCCACTCTGAAACCTTTTCAATAACATCCAACTGAAGACCAGAAAAAAAATGACTTAAATTTTCTAGGGACTTAATTGGGTAACGTCTCATTTCTTATGAAGTATTATTTTATATCTGGAAAATTCTATGTATTCTTTGACTGTCTTAGTTTGCAATTAGAGAATAAAAATAGATGACACAGCTTTGATGAGGATGGCTGACATGTGCTTTAAAAAAATTCCTCTCAAAAGAAAGCTTCACAAATATTTTTAAGGCTAAAAATGAAATTATTTCTATGTCCTGTCCTGGGTTCCATGGCAAACTTGGGAGGACTGGGAGAATAACTGAATGGCCCCAAATTCCCAGAAAATACCCCATTTTGGAATCAGGTAGCCACTTGGCTTTGTTGGGAGATTACAAACTATGGATGTATTAGACCCTCTCCCAGCTCCAAAGTAGTTTGCCTCCTAGTCTGTTGGCTACTCTTCTTTGGGGTGCATTAGTTAAGCCTGCCCGTGTACCCTCGCTGCAGCTCTCCTCTGCCCTGGAGATCTGCCTGCCTGGGGAACATCAGTGAAGATGCTCTCCTTAACTGGGTTCTGCACTGGGGATGAACAGGTCTGTGGCAGTGATCACTGGTTCTTTCAAACATTTTTTGTCTTTTGACACAGGGTTTCCCTGTAGCCCCAGCTGGCCTCAAACTCACTACATAGACCAGGCTGGCCTTGAGCTAACAGAGATCCACCTCCCTCTGCCTTCCAAGTGCTGGGATTAAAGGCATGTGCTACCATGCCCAGCTCAACCAATATACATTTATTAAACAATTAAATGTATGAATAGAGAGTCACAATATAAGGCCAATGAGGTTTGGAGGTAGCTGACAGGGATTTCATGTGTTCTAGGCTAATCTGAGCTCTTTGTTTTCTTTCAGGTGGTGAGGATCGAACCCAGGACGTTGCACATTCCAGCAAGCATTCTACCACTGAACTCCATCCCCAGTTTCCAACTTGGGCCCTTTGTGAATCCGCTTCTTTGGCCTAGAATCTGCGCAGTGAGAACAGAATTACTTTGTTACAACTAGCCAGTCCCTAAGTGGGTCTGGGATGGTGCAGATGGTCTTGAACACAGATCATACACCACAGAGTGGCAACTTCTACCACCTCCAAAGAGAAAAAGTATTTTTAGTGTACAGTTTCATTAAAAATCTTATTTAGATTCTATACCCAAGAATAACCGAGCACTAGTTTGGTCAGAAAGTAAACACTGAGCTGGAGTAATGCTGAAGTCTTGCTGGGTGAGGAGAGGCTCTGTGAGGAGTTCTTGGCATCACATCTCACCTTGATATCTTGGATCAGCTGCTGGGTGGGTGTGTCAATTGGGGCTTTGGTGTCAGTCACATTTTGAATGGCGCTGGACCACCTGGTAGCCTCGTTGAGCAGTTTTGTGTAGAGCCGGTAACAGTGCTTGCGCCCGTAGACGGTTATATTCCAATAGCCTGCAAGGTAGTGCAGCACACGCATATCAACTTCAGCCTCTGGGACCAAGGCAATTCTTGTACCAGAGCCCCAGATGATAACATCACTAGAAGTCCTTTAATTAGTGATTAATTCAATAAACACTTGAATCCTACATGTGCCATGCCTGGCACCAGGCATCCAGTGACAGAAAGAGACAAGTGTCTCTGCACTGTCGGATTTGTAGTGAGAGGTGAAGAGAAGCCTTAAAACAAGAAACCCAGAAGGAAGGAGAAATGGAAACAGTCTCTCTCTCAGAGAAAGCTAACCCCCACCTCTAGGCTCTGGAACAGGAATACCAAGGCCCAGCAGATGCTAAGGTCCCTTCAGCTCCTGCTTCTTTCCTGCCCTCAGCCTCTCTCCACAGAACGCTGTGCTAAGGAATCTGTGTGTCACAGACAAGAGGCACAACATCGCCTCCATCCGACATGAATGGAGCAACTACATTTTAAAAATTACGAAATCAGAACTACAGACAAAAACCAAAAGAGACAGTCTTTCAGAAATTCTTATTGTCCCACTAATTAGGAAAAAAACCACACACACACCAAATCCATCTGTCTACTTATACACATGCTTTTTAGGCACTAGTCTAAGTTTGGGATTTTTAGAAATGGCATGTAAGCCTCCTGGTGGGATGGTGAAGGAGATTCAGCATATGCACCAAGCACCCACGGGACACTGAGATCTTTACACTGTCTTGTCCTTGTCGGGAATCTTCATCATCTCTATAAGCCAAACTGTCTTTACTATGGCTTTAAATACAGAGCATTTAGAGCCAAGCACAGCCAGCCTCAGGGGCACATTAAGAGCAGGATTTCTTTTGGGGTAGAGGAAGTTGAAAGTAAACACACCAGTTAGGAATCTCATTCCTAGGCTGGAGCAAGCCCTGGCCTTCCAAGATCTGACACTCTGCGTTCTGAGCCCAGCTGGGTTCTAACCAGCAGTTGGGTACCTGTCTCTTTGAATATCTTCTCGTCTGGAGGCACAACTGAGCACAGACTGTTGAGGACCAGCGTGCCCAGTTTCAGTGCGTTTTTCTCTGAGCTCTTGTAGTAATCCAGGGAATTGTGTGTCAGCACGAACCACCGTTTCTTCAGTTTTAGAGAGGACATCTTTGGACTGTTCTTCACTTCTTTATGTAACCACCCTGGAAAGGACAATCCAAGTCTGAGTTAGGGGGTGGGGGTACAGATCAGTGGTAGAGTGCTTGTCCCAGCAGAGAAAAGACAGTCAGTCAAAACTGCCCTGAATCAAAGCCCTGAGTACCCCACTATCACTTCCATTTGTGCTTAAATATGGATTGCACTTTTACCTACTGGCTAGAAAACATCGTGCTCTTTGGTTAATTGTTTCCAAAAACTTCCACAGTCAAAGTGACTCGAAGAAGCTATTTAAGGGGCTAGGGAAATGGCTCAGTCATAAAGTGCTTGCTGTACAAGCATGAAAACCTGAGTTTGGAGCCCCAATACCTATATGAAATGTAGGCATGCACCAGTGCTGGGGAGGTGGAGACAGGAGGCTCCCTGGGCCTCACTGGCTAGTTAGTCTGGCTGAATTGATAAGCTCTAGTTCAGTGAGAGATCCTGCCGTAAAAAAAAAAAAAAGGGTAGAGAGTGATTGAGGAAGATACCCACTGTTGACCTTTGGTTTCCACATTCACATGTATATACACATGTGCCCACATGCACATACATTCTCATATGCACACACACACACACACACAGCAGTTCAACAGAACATTCAAGAGCTATCTACTATGCAGATGAAAATACAAGTCCACAAAGAAGACAGTGCAATATGGCTGGCAGCCACCTCTCACGATAAACTCCTGGCCCTCCACCCTGGTGTCCCCCTTGGATCTCTGCAGCAGGGTTATCCAGTGGTGCATCTCCTCTGGTGTGTCAGCGTTGCAGTGGAGCACCCGGTTGGCTGTGATGATCACGAATGAGTTGGGTCTGAGAGACAAGGCAAGAAAGAAGCGAGGCCTCTTAGTTCCAGTGTTAGCATCACCTGTCAGCACCAAGACTTCACAGCCTTCTTCCTGGCTTGGGGTCCCAGGGAGACACACTGCTATGCTCTCTATGTCTCACCGTAAGGCAACCCTTGCTCATTTCTGTGGGATTTATTTTATGCATCATTAACCTTTAAACTCAGAGAAGCACATTCATTCAGAAGGTCCTGAGAGGGAAAACATTTCTTCATGCAAAACTTTCCAGATGAAACTCAGTTCCGGGAAGGCTAAATAAGGTGACCATGGGGAAAATTTTTTTTTGATGCTTCTCCAAAGTCAGTTTCTTTCTGACTCTGGATATTGCCTTGGGTAATATTTCTGTGGGGTGGGAATGAAATATCAGACACCAATTACAGAGGAGGGTCAGTGACTAGTGAGTAGAACATCTTATGTATCTGATTTTTACCTGGTACAAAAAGCCACTAGGGTCCATGTTTTCAAAGCAACCCAACAAGGGCACATTTCCCAGACAGGGATAAAGCGATAATGGAGGCTTACTTTCTCCCTCAGCTCCTTCTGTATGCCAATGTTCAGAATCTCAAACAGCCCTGTCCTCACACTAATATCTTCATCTGGTTACTTAAACCAATGAATGAGAATTCTTTGTGGTAAGTTTTCCAATGTTCACTGCAGTTAAGTACTAGCAAAGTTCAAGAAAAAAGGCTACCAGGCTGCCTGCTGGAGGCAGGGAAATCTAGGCAAAGAGGTTGGACCAGAGATCCCTCAAAAAGGTGTAGCTGGTAAGGAAGAAAGGTGAACATTTGAGATGAGAGAAATCTAACAGGGAAAAGGCAGTTTTCAGCCTGGGCCATCACCTGCCCAGCTTGTGGAAGTGGTAGGTCTGGGAGATGCAAGAGGCAAGTTTAGTAAGACAGGGACTTAAGTATACAAAGAGAATCTGGGCTTTGGTTACTGAGCCAGCACATGTGTTAAGTATTTCCAAGCCAGGCATACGATGGTACCAGCTGATTAACTTCTGAAAACAAAGGATACCCAGCTAGACCTAGAGTTGGGACCCCAGAGCTGTCACTCTGACTAGCAGACACTATTTTTTGTGTGTATGGTCAGTTTTAACACACTCATGTTTATACTTTCTGGCTTTTTTAACAACAGCATAAGTCAGTTTTAATTCTGACTCTGGTCCTAGGACAACTTAAAGTCTAATGAGGGTCAGAAAAGGAATTTACAAGCAGCAAAGAGTAACTGACTCATCAGAGACAAGGTTCACTGGATACTTACTCTGAAGATGATTTGCTTTCAGAAGTCAAATCAGAGAAAGCAGAAATGTCAAGGAAAAGGCTTATGGTTGGATTTATTAATATTTCACGTTATCACAAGGGTCATGATTAATTTAGAGAGAGGAACACTACAGCCTCCCTATGCTAGAGTAATACTTTCCTAATAGTTATGTTCTTCCTAACAGAATCCCAAGACTGACAGGTGTGGTGGCTCACACATGTGGTCCCAGAGCTTGGGAGGCTGAAATAGGACTGTGAGTTTGAAGCCAACCTGGGCTACACAGTGAGACCTTGTCTCAAAAAACTAAAGCAGATGACATCCCAAGTTGTAGTTCCAAACAGAGTGTACTTTCCTGTGTTACGGGTGGTTTTGGAAATGGCCTGTCTATATTTGGCTTCCCATTTCCCTTAGTAATCTGAAGCCAGCCTCCCAGAACTCCCTGGATAAAGTGGTTGCCAAAGTTTCATAGCCCAGCAAAGGGGCCAGTGGCAAGGACAGAGGGAGACCTGTGGGGACTTATGGTGTTGAGTACCTCTGCTAAAAGCCACATAGGAGCTTACCTATCGGGGCTATCAGAAGCACACACAGAATCGATCAGCCCCACATCCAATGTGCCCTGGAAAGGATCAAAAAGCAGGTGAGCAAGTCCCCAGAGGAGAGTGACACATCACACAGTAGCCCTAGATTACAACTTGTAAACATACAGACTAAAGAGACACTCTCTTTTGTGGTGATCTGCAAAATAACAGTTATCTAAGAAAAGTTCCTGATTTTAATGAGTCCAGACAGTCACTAGATAGGGCACAATCTACAGTCTATTCCTTAAAACACTATGATTCATCACATCAGTCCCTTTGGTAAAGAATATTCATCAACTTTTCTATACTGTAAATTTACTGATTTATGCTATGATCTCTTATTAATTTTACAGTTATTCTGCAAAGAAACATTTGATTTTGAAGTTTTATGGGGGCTGGAGAGACAGCTCTCAGAAGCTAAAAGCATGCACTGCCTTTGCAAAGGAACCACGTTGTGTGGCTCACAACTGCCTGTTAACTCCAGCTCCAAGCAATCTGACACCCTCTTCTGAGCTCTTTGGGCAACCACACTCATGTGAACAAACTCCCCCGCCCCATACACATAAAACTAAATATTAAAAGAATTAATTTTTTTTTTAAATAAAGTTTTCAGATGAGGAAATAAAACTTTATTTTTAAAATAGGACTTTATAACTTCCTATATATGTCTAGAATACATATAGCAAAAATATAATTTAGAATTCACTTGATTATTCAAAGAAAGTGTCATGTGCTTCTATAAGATCATAAAATTGTGATTTTTTTGTTGTTGTCCTTTTAAAAGGATTGATGTAGAAGAGCTCAGATGTATCAATATTTACCTACAATTTATGGTTTTTTCTTTTCTTTTTTTAAGGTTTTTAAAAAAATAATTTTTTATTTTTCTTTTATGTGTATGAATGTATTGCCTGTATGTGTGCAAGTGCTCACGTGTTGTGCAGTGCCTGCCTGCGGTGGTCAGAAGAAGGTATCAGATTCCCTGGAACTGGAGCTACAGATGGCTGTTAACCACCATGTGGGTGCTGGGAATCGAACCTAGATCCTCTGCAAAAGCAGTCAGTGCTCTTAACTGCTGAGCCATCTCTCCAGCTCCATTAAAGTTTTTTTTTGATATAGGGTTTCTCTGTATCCTTCACTGTCCTGGAACTCACTACATAGGCCAGGCTGGCCCTGATCTCACAGAGATCTGCCTCTGCCTCCCGAGTGCTGCTGGGTTTAAAGGTGTGCACCACCATAACTGGCTATTGTTTTTTCTTTTTTTTTTAATGCATGATTTTTAACATAAATGGCCCTGTTTTCCTCCTTAATTATTCTATTTACTTATAAAGGTTATCTAGACATTCCTAGTACACCCTCTTCCCCAGCCTGATTTCCTTACCATCATCCTGCCTCCACCTGTCAATGCCCACTCACCACAGCATTCTGGGGGTTTGCCTGCTCGTCATGCATCTCCCGGATCTCCTGGTCTGTGGATGCATGGACCTGACTCAGCACACTGAACCACTGGCTGTAGAAAGAGAAGCAAAAGTCAAGGGTGGCCAAACTCCTTACGACAAAACAGCAGCACTTTCCTCTACTTCAAGACAGGACAGCTCCTCTGAGCATAGCCTGTTTGTCAGTTAAGCTGGGGGGTGATATGACCACAAGCAAAGTTAGAAAAAACAGCAGGGGGTTAGAGAGATGGCTCAGTGGTTAAAAAAGCTGTTCTTGCAGAAGACCTGGGTTCGAATCCCAGTACCCACATGGCAGCTAACAACTGTCCATAACTCCAGTTTCCAGGGGATCCGACAGCTTCATCTGTTCTCTGTGGGCATTACACAACATGGGTGCACTTACCTACACGCAGGCAATACACACATACACATAATATAAAAATAATCAATAACATTAAAAAAAAGAGAAAAATCAGCAATAGTACTTTCAAGCATTGTGTGTTCTCATTACAAGATGGGAGATACTTCCCTACCAGCCCCCACAGACCTCAGACATCTTAAGATGTGTTCATTGAGAAACGGCAGTTATTATGAAATGTGTGTGTGAGGATATTTACTGAGTACTATATTTTTGTCCTGGAGGACATCCATGTACCTTTTCTTTGGGAAAATAAATCTCAAAGAAAGAAGGTCAGTAATGGGGAAATGACCTCTTCAGAACATGGCTTGATGTGCATCTTTCTACTTGTTCCACAATGAAGCTTCCATGGCCAGGATTTCCACTGAATAAAACCACAAGGGCAGCGAAAATCAAAAACAGGTGCTTTACATAGAAAGCAGAAAATTATTTTGACCAGAATTCTTCCACCTTCATTTCAAATGCATTTTCTCACTTCTAGCCTCATCAGAATCTGAAGACCAAGGCAAGCATATGGTGATGAACTGCAGAAAAATCCCAAGACACACATGGAGAAAACGGTCACCCAATCACCAGCACTGACTAAGCAAACACGGCAGCTGAGGGAGAAGCCAAGAGCTTCTTCTGACGGGATTTCTTATGTCTTAATAAACACACACTCCTACTAAATAAGGCAGAGGGGAAAGGACTTGGTAAGCAACAGAATAAGTGAAAAAAATAACATCCCTACATAAAGCTAGCCAAGTGAATTATTTACAGCAAAAACTAAAACCTATATTCAGTGCTTCCTGAATGAAAACATTCACTGTATGCAGACCTTTAGGAAGATCCAAGTAGAACGCCCTCATCTGACCTTGCTGCATACCTCTTGGTTCACCAGAAGGCAGCCTGTACTCATGACTTTACTAAGCTCAAAACTCTCCCAAATCAAATACCCCAACATATGTAAACCCAAGATATAAGCCATATAGGAATCACACAGACTTGCACACACACAGGAATAAACTTTTCTGTGCTTTCAACTTCCATAGATACTCTTAAATTTATAATTTCTTATGAACCAAGCATAACCTGAAATCTAAAAGAGAATTTTTTAAAAAAGTGTTCCACTGGTCAGGGGCAAAAGTCTTTGGCTGAAACATTCCAAATGTTAAATTTAGCAGGTTCATTATGGCTCCAAACAGACAGGGCAGCTGCCAAATGCCCAGCCTGTAATTCAGCTGAGAAGTTGTGAGCATTTCCTGGACCACAGAAAGCCACACATAGACTCTAGGAGACCCAGACAGAATGATGGGGCTGTAATTTCAGGTTTGCTTGTTTTTCCAGTTTGTGTTATAATTTATGAGGCCAGCCAGCAGTTCGGCTTGTTCCCATGGGAAGAATTACTTTCTGGCGTCTACCCTGATTCTGCTGCCATGGTGTTCTATCAACTGAAAAACATTCAAAGGACAGCGGGTGGTGAGTGAGAGGTCTCGAGAATGCACCAGAAGGCTCTGATGACTTCTGGGCTGAGAAGTGAAGAACAGGCCACTGACTGTCACCCTCATAAATGACCACCTAGAACTGTTCAGAGCAGGTGACCACCACCACATCTCTATAAAGACTGACAAAACCCGAAGAACAGACTAGACAGGATGGGCACTCTACTGTGTCCTACACACGATATGACCCTGTGGTGTCACTTTCTCTCCTTAGCACTGTCCTCCTTGTGCTCAGCACTCCAGCATGGTCCAGAAGAGTTAGGGAACTCGCACCAACCAAAAAGGAACTGCACTTGACCTTGGCCCCAAATCTAAGCTTCTTTAGAAAGAAATGTAGCAAGTTTAAAGCATCCATTCAACAGAACTGAGCCTCCATCCCATCAGAGGCTATGTTCTCCTTTCTAGGTCACCCAGTTTCCCAGTCTGTGCGAAATACAAATGATGGTAAGAATGAAACTTACTCCAAAGGACTGCCTGAGAATCAAATGACTTAAAATATTTGAAACACTTAAAATACTGCCTGCAATATAGAAAGGTCCACGAAAGTTGATATCCTGTCTACTAACTGGTGGAAAGCTGGAGACTTTACTCTGCACGCCACAGTGCTATCATGTATTAAGCAGCTGGTTAAGGCAACTATCCTTTCGATCACTATATAAGTATAAGCTCTTCACTTCTAAAGCTCTGAAACATCCACAGGGTGGCATTCAGCTTTGTTTGTAGGGTGCTGGTGACAATGACCATCTGAGTCCTGGTCTTGTTTGATAGCATTTGAGGCTGGAAATCCTGAATTCGTGTTATTCCTGAACGTATCTGCTGCTGTTTGGGAGATAGTCCCCAAAGGACAAGACACACATCTCTTATGACTCTCAGTCCTGTAACCATCCTAATAGAAAACCCAACTATAAAATTGAAAGCCTTTTAAGGGAGTCAGAGTAAACAGTGATATGTGGAGTTTATGCCTGAGCTTGGAGGAAGATGTAGGAGGAAGTCCATCTCACAAGCCTCACCTGGCATCTTCTGGGGACTCCGCAATCAGGTGGAAGGTCCTATCGGCCATAATGATATCAATTCCATTCTCTTTGCTGGTGTTATCTATGATCTCCCTGTAAGATATAAAAGTAGTGAGTGGAAATCAAGAATGCAAAAGAGAAAGGCAATCTCAGGAAACTAATGACCTAATAGGAGATGGTTACCAAAGTAGCTCTATACAGTGGTCCCCCTTATCCATGAGGGGTTTCTTCCAAGATACCTAGTAGATGCCTGAACCTATAGACAGTAGGGAACCCTACATAAATGAGTTTCCCTCATATTGTTGAGTGTCTCTGGTCTAAAACACCTGAGCCCCAAAATGCCTTATATTTCAGAATATTCAAACACAGTAAGATATCTTAGAAATGGGGCCCAAATCTAAACACGGAATGCATTTGTTTTATATACATCTTAGGCATGCATGTAGCCTGAAAGTATTTTGCTTTATGCTAAGCACATGCTCTACCACTGAGCTATGCTCCTAGCCCCATGGGTGCAATCTTATAAAAACAGTGTTTCCATATGCCCGAATTTTCAATGGGACCCCTCCTATGTGGTCAGAGCGGAACTGTGCACCTGTGGCATCACAGTGGCTCTCCAAGTTTGGAGCACTTTAGATTTTGGATTTTCAGATTAGGGACATACAACCTGCACATGGATGTGAATAGTAAATTTAGTTATAAATTAGCGACACATTAACCAATAATAAAACAGTAACTGTAGCATACTATAACAAAGTTATGTGACTCCATCCCTCTCCCCTTCTAAGCATGACATTCTTCTATTTGATGTTTTTGGACCATGGCTGACTAGAGGTAACCGAAACCAAGCAATGTGAAGACAAGGACCAGGTAAGACCTGATGTAATCAGCCTTTTCTATAACCTCTAGGGGGAGCCAGGCTCCTCTGTGCTCCTAGTAGAGGGTCTGCAAGCCTGTGTGTGTGTGTGTGTGTGTGTGTGTCCCTGATGTTTCTTTGGAAGAACCTCTTCTCACACTAGCTCACCCAATGCCTGAGCCAAAACCTTCTTTTGGCCCTTGTCTCTGACTTACAAGAGGAAGAACCCAGAAGACAACCTTGTCTGGTGTGAGTGCATCCCTGGTTTATCACAGTGGCTGTGGTTCAAAGATGGCACTCCCAGCCTCAAGTGATCCTCAAAGCAGGTATCTATCTACAGGCAGGATTTAAGGGGGGATGAAACTATGAAGGTTCCAGCTTTGTGGAGCATGAGGTTGCAAACCTGACATTTGTTTTCTTTTTCCCTTTCTCTTCTTCTTGGCCCCCTCTTTCTTCTGCAGTGCTGGGACTGAACCCAGGCCCTGTGCATGCTAGGTCAGCCTTCTACCACTGAGCTACATCACCATCCTTGTTTTTGAGACAGGGTTTCACAATATAGCCCAGGCTGGTCTCAAACTGGCAATCCTGCCTCACCTCTGGAGTGAGGATTCAAGGCATGTACTGCGACAGCTGGCTCCTTCCTTGTTGTCTCCTGAGAGCACTCTTGCCCTTTAGCCATGGGATAATGCAGGAAGATGTGTCCCCCTAATCCTGGACTTCTCAGTGTCCAGACCATGAGTCAAGTGGATGATACCTCATTAGAAATAACCTAGTCTCAGGTATTCTGTTACAGCGGAACAAACTAAGACAACTTTCCATCAGGTCGAAGGCCACAGCCTTCTATCATGTCAAAGGCCTGGCAGGCATCTTGATATACTCTCCCCAACTCTGCTTCCATCACAGGCTCTGAAGCAAGGAAGAATTTGGTGCTGTGGATCTTGATCTCACCTAGACACTCCCTAATTACTGGCAGTGGGTTAACCAAATCAGGGACAAGCAGATATTAAGATCAGACCAGAGTTGGTAATACATTTGATATAAAAATAGTCTTGGGGATAGGGCCAGTTTGCTTTGACACTTGAAGCAGTAAATTTGTCATAGCAAAACATTTATTTTACATCAATATACCTCAAAGTCTAACAGACTAGAAACAACAAATATGGTATGATCTTATTATTAAGACTCACGGAAACAAGATTAAATATATTTTGGGCTGAAGGGATGGCTCAGAGGTTCAGAGAGCTTGCTGCTCTTCCAGAGGACCAGAGTTTGATTCCTAGCACACATGTCAGAAGAATCAGAACTGCCTGTAACTCCAGCTCCGGGGATTTGATACCCTCTCCTGGCTTCCACAGGCACGCATATGTATGTACACATACCCATATAGATAAATAAAAATACAAAGTCTTTTTAAAAAAGGACAATACATTTTAAAAATCAGTAAGATCAGGGGGCCAGTGGGATGGCTTGAGGCTTGTTGTACAAGCCGGTGACCTGAGTTCAGTCCCCAGAATCTTGTAAATGTACAAGGAGAACCCATTCCACAAAGTTGTCCTTTGACCTTCACATGTCACATTTACCCACACACAACATGCATGAGCACACATACACACAAATAATAACAATAATAATAAAACGGATAAAATTTAAGAAAAAAAGGTTAGAACTCGGAGTGGTGTCTGATGCCTCCTCTGGATAGAGAGAGGTGAGCCACTGGGTCTAGTGCAACCCTCCTGGGTAGGAGGATGATCCCCAGGAACACCTTGGACATGCCACTTTCCCTCTTGGGAACTCAGATTCCCTCATATGCAAAATGGGGCTTGAAACTCTATGACCAGTCATGAGGCTGGCGTTCTGAACCTCACAAATTCTAGGAACAATCAGAAACAGGCAGGGCTCCGGAGATGTGCACATAAACGCTTTCCTGAATTATGGAAGGTAGTGACAGTGTTGGTGGTGGGGCTGCCATGTAGCTGGGCCCCAACTTAGGGCCTTCCCAAACACTCAAGTGCAAAATAATAAAGCAAACAGAGAACACCTTGTCACAACAGAAACCAAGGAAGCAGTCATAAATGACTGGGGTTACAGGACAAAGATCAAGGGCCACATGGCAGCTTCTCTTAGCCCAGATGGGGCTACTGTGGGAATCCAAGAGAGCTACAGGGGCCAGAACCCATTTAATACATTAAATCCAAAAGTGCATAATGACACTTGGAAAAACAAATAGTCATCAGAGCGAGAAATAAAGTCATCACTGCTGGATATTCAAAGGACCTACTCATTTTCCTGGCAACTGGGGGACAAAAAAAATTCCCAGCAATTAGCTTGCCTTTCCTATAAAGACAGTACTTTCAGGCTAACCACTTATCTGTTTAGAAGTTTTTCTTAATAGAAGAAATAGTCCAGGTAAGAAATGAGCGTGGTCTAGCTGTGGTTCCTCATGTATAATTCAACCTCAAATCAAAGATATTCAGAAAAAAAAAAAAAAAAGCACCTGAACTGAACAAGCAAGACGTTATCAGCTTTTCTATTCTTGTGGGGGGGTGATTATAGCAAAATTTGGTAGCCTCTAGTGAATTCATGTTTACTTAATAATCAAGAATTGTTCTAACAGAAACTGACACCACCAATTATAAAACACTTATGAAGAACAAACCTCGACTGGATGGCATTCTAGATGTGATGACCAATTCAGAGAGAAACTGGGACAAAAAAGGAGCAAGCTCAACAATGCGTCAGCATGTAGCCAGTGATGCCTGGAAACCAGCTAGCAGGTGGAAGAAAGGTGAGGGAATCTGCAAACCGAAAGACTTGAATGATCTAAAAGCAATCAGGTGCATGCTAATCCATGGACAGGTCCCATGTGGCCCAGGATGGCCACGAATGTGGCCCAAACATACTTAAAACATTGATATTTTTATTTATTTGCTTATTTATTTTAATTTTTAAAATATGTTTTATTATTTTGTATGTGTATGAGTATATTGCCTGCATGGGTGAGCTATCACTCCAGCCCCTATTTGTTTTATGTGTAAAAGTGTTTGCCTGCATAAGAGCACCTATGTATGCAATGCCTGTGGAAGCCAGAAGAGGGAGTTAGATCTCCTAGAACAGGAATTATAGGTGGTTGTTAGCTGCCATGTGGATGTTGGGAACCAAACCTGGGTCCTCTGCAAGAGTAGTCAGTGCTCTTAACCACTGAGCTATCTCTACAGCCCTATTATGACTCTTTTTTTGGTAACTGGATTGTGCAGTTCCTAAGCATGTACTTTGCAGGTGACAACATTGTGTTGCAATGTCAAAAGGCTAGGCATGTCTGGGTGCTGACCCCACTGGATTCTGATTTGAAGAAAGAAAACTGTATAACCCAGCAAACCAATAAGACCATTCCTCTCTCCAACTGTGGGAAATGTGGGCAATGAGTTTGGATGTTGTGATGGCTAATCCTGGATGTCAACTTGACTAGATCTGGGATTAAATGAAATGAGGGAGACCTTCTTGATCAGATCATTTGAAGCTGGAAGACAAACCCTAAATGTGGGTGTTACCTTCTGATGGCATATGAAAGGCCATTGTTGGACTACTCGGACTCTATGATGTAAACTAATTTAATAAATGTATATAAGATGTAAGGTAATCTAATAAATCCATACACACACACCCCTATATGTATAAACTGTAAGCTAATGTAATAAATCCATATACATGTGT